TGCACCAATCAAATCACACACGACGGAGAAACTTTAGAGGATGTAAAAACCTTTACAAATCTAGACAGTATTATTGATGAACTCGGTGGATCTCATTCCGATATGAAGGCAAAGATCGACAAAGCAATGCAGCATATCTACAACTGAACAACATCTGCAACTCAAAATAACTTACTTACTGTCAACCGACACCAAAGTCACAAGTTTCAACACAAATATTAAGACAGTTGTACTGTACGGGGTGGAAAGTTGGACAACTACGAAAGACATCATCAAAAAGATCCATGTGTTTATCAACAGTTGTCTACGCAAAATACTTCGGATGCGTTGGCCAGATACTATCATCAACAACCTACTGAGAGAGAACGAACCAGATTCCAGGAGAGGAGGAATCACTGAAGTGGATAGGACAGACATTGAGGACAACAGCCAACTGCGTCACAATGCAAGCTGACACATGGAGTCCTCAAGGTCAAAGGGAAAAAGAAATACCAAAGAACACAGTACGCCGAGAAATGGATACAGACAGACATGAGAAGAATGAACAACAACCGGACAGAACTCGGAAGGGAGGCGGAGGACAGAGTGGTTTGGAGAATGCTGGTCGGCGGTCTATTCTCCATTAGGAGTCGCAGGCGTAAGTACTCAATTAAATAAGCAAACTTTTGTCGTTGGGGTGGATGAAATTTTGAGGGCTGATTATGTATCTGTTTTTCAGTGTTCAATAATAAAGATTGTGATGATAGGCTGAGTTGCTCGAAGTCTTGCGTAGATGATCTATGTTGAATAACTGGGGGCCTGCTAGAGTTAGACAAGAATGATGTGACGAACCAGGTAACATCGAAGTAACACCTCGCGGTCTGCACCTTGCGTGGATTGCCCCATCGACGTACCAAGGTAATACAGATGCTTTGAAAACTGTACAATACAAAAGACGTTGTTATGGAAATATATTAGTTAACGTATATACAAGCAAAAATAAGACCACCGTCTTGTGGGCCAGTCTATGACGTACGGTTAACTGATGCGCGTTGATCGTCCTTGATCATGTCAGTGATCGATGATTTCTTCGATGTTCAGTGACTCAACTGCCGGATGCCTTGGTTAGGGCTCAGCGATATTTAACTGGCCATATAGTACAATAAACTAGTAAGATTTTATTTGTTTAGTTGAGTTATCGAAACATTTTTACTTAGTTATCACCATACGGTTAGCTAGTTAGGTACTAAATATGATGTTTGACTTCAACCCAGGCCAGACGTTCAGTTTATTTCCAACCATCTGAAGCAGGTTACACCATTCCCATCAGTAATCTACTGATTTCTAAGGGCAGCTTAAATTGTAAATCTTGAACGGCAAAAGCTTTGGGTATGCTGAGTAATTTTAAGCTACCACCTTTTGATTTCTTCGGATTTCGTAAACAATGTTAAATGATGAGTTGGAGGTTGAATTTTCTTTGTGTACTGCATGTTATGTCCTAGTGAATATTGAATTACGAGTAACGTCTGAGACCTATTAATGAAATATTATTATCTGTATATTCTTATGGTAAAACTTTTCAGTAATTAGATTATGTATATCTATATTTCCCTTATTGTAAGCTTTGTTTTGACCTATAGACTATTATTGTATGATTTACTGATCGTAAGTTATACTCAGTTTATTAATTGCTGTCTCACACGTTCACAACCACTTTTTGGCTTTATTGTGTATAAATGTTATTTCCTACTTTATGATGCGTTGCGGACTGTTTGGTTGATATACTAACCCGGTATGTCTGACATATGTGATTCGCGTAGTGGAAGCTGGTATTGGTGTTCTGGACTGAAGTTAACGGGCTAGGTGAACATAGGACCAATAAGGACGCTACGTTGCTCATAGCGGTCAAACGTCATTGGTTTAGTACAGTATAAGAGCGGATAAATCGTATTTTGATTGGTGAATAGATTACGTGATAACTAGCGGGCCACAAAGTCACAACACTGCATACTACAAAATCGATTATTTAACTGACTCTTTTACATATTTATAGTGGCCTTTGTGTGCAATGACAAAGTGCTGCATAAAAACGTCCGGCGAGACTTTAAATTATAGACGAGTCAATCAGATTTGAGGTATCAGATCTTTGATTTTGGCGCGAAATTTACTCCCTCATTTGGCTAAATGCAATTTTAATCTTACGGCTGGTGTCAGTTTGTGATGAAAACATTAAATCTAACTCCTAACCTCTAACGTTCAACTGTAAATAGTAATGCTAATCCCTCACACTAATAAATAACCCTTACATATCCCTAAAGAGCAAGTAGATATTCCAAAGTCATCCTTGTGCTGCTCAAAGTTTGTCCATAAATTATAATAATAAGAATTTATTCTCAGATAACAGTTTGTTACATGAGGCAAGATCAATTTGTTACAAATGATACAATTTCCAACTGTAGTAAATTACTCAGCTGGGTCGATAATTTATAAGATATGAATGTAGATGGTTTAAGTCTGTATCACATTTGGCGCGCTTCATGAAAGTTGCGTTGCGACGTGCAACTGATGGTTGATAATAAATTCATGTGAAGTTAGGGGTTTATAGAAATCGCAACCTTATATCCATTTGGAATATTTGAGGCTCTAAGGATAGTACAAGATGAGGTCACCCGTTTCATATCTCAAGGAGGCTAAAAAATGGTGCGAGAAAAAAAAGAGGACGAGAAGCACAGCAGACAATGTTTATGAAGAAATAGTTAAGGTATGACTACTCAGTCTGATTCTCTTTTATTAGAGTATTTATTGAGCAGGAGTATCCTAAATAGGTTAGAGAAAATAAGCGTAAACAAGGTGTGAGTGGATAAATAACTGACTAATGTAGGTGATTCAGAAAGAAGCTGATAGTATGGGAATATGTGTAGTTATAAAATATAGTGCTAAAAACAGTGTTATGATACACAAATGGCTGTCTCCCTTTTTTTGGTTGACGCTATTGGAGCCTTTTTTAGACTTTATAGGGTCTTGAGTAGGCTTCGTTTTTGGCGAATTGTCTAGTTTGCTTGTAATAGAATTACTTGGTAGGAGCTGAAAGTACGTAAGATATTAAGAAATGAGTTTTGAATAATATTCTTACGTCACTGAGAATTTAAGTGAAGGACAGGAATGGTGAACAGAACATAGAACTGCTTGACATGTCAACGGTAGTGGGTTATCGATAACACTGAAAAGAATACCAAACCTAGAAACGTTTTCTTTCATGACTCGCGATAACATTGCAAATAAAACTTAGAAACGAATAAGTGAACCGTTAGAAAATCCCAGATGGCCTCAACGTTGATGTTAACTAAAACAAAATATATTGGTGTGATATCTTCCAAAATTACTCAAATAAAAAAAGATTAACATTCTATCCCATCAGGCATGTAAACATGTAGGAAAGAATATATTGACCTGAGTAGTAATAGCAGAACACAAAAAAACAAAACTGACTCAAGAACATTGGTGCCAACATTTCGAGGACCACATGATTTAAGAAAAATCAGCACACTGAAGGATCAAATGCTTCGGCGACACGAAAACGCCAGCGCAAAAACATACAGAACGAGTCAAATCGATAACCATTGCTGACAAAGATTTGACAGATGTGTTCCATCCTATATTTCATATGCATTTTTTGGCTGTATTTACAGTGTAATTTGCTCAGGATAGCAAGTTTTTTGCGTCCTAGCATTACTACTGAGAAAAACACCACGCAACCATTCTTATGAAACCGTTTGAATGCCACAGGCGTTAGATTCGTGCAAACGTCGTGGTAACACCTTTTTCACACGTCGCACTGCATAATACTTTCAGCGGCGTTCGGACAGCCTAAGTGTTGGCAACTGCATTTTCTGCACTTTCCATCCATGGAACAAAGGCTTTCAAAAAGTAACTAGTTGCAATAATACTCACAGACAAAAATAATTTATAACGGAAATGTGAAAATCCGCTAATTTTTGTAACCGAATACTTAGAAATACACTTTTGAGAAAAATGAGGGCATATCAGGAGCAAATTTATCACTAAGTAATTTGAAAACTGTACTCAGATCACATCTAGTTATTCGATGTGACAACGGTAATAAGTTTAGCTTGGTTAGTCTGGCATCATACAGGAGCTTCGCTATCCTAGGAATAAGCTTAGTTGCTGTTTTCTGAACCTTTTCCAATAGCTCACTGTCTTTTCAAGAAGGAGCTAGCCGCATGTATGCTGTATTAAAGTTCAGGTCGCACGAACACTATACAAAGTCGAAAAAGTTTTGCGTCGACATGACCAACGGCCTTACGTATTGACCATGAAATTCTTAAACGTTTGGCAGCTATTGTACGGTAATTTGAAGTAGTCGTCAAGTCTTGGCTAACGGTGACTCTTAAGTCATTGTGTGTCTTGACAACAGGTAGGTCAGTGTTATTCATCGTGTATGTATCTGCACCTTGATGACTGATATGCATCACAATATACTTGAAAGATTCCATCGTCAACTGCTAGATTTGAGACCATTGATATAATTTATCCAGGCCGTTTCGGAGTTCTAAGCTGTCACCCTTACTTCGTATCGCTCTATATATCTTGACATCTCCAGCACACACCAAATACAATGGAAAATCAGTACTCAAAATACCGACGAAAAACTACTTTGGAGACGAAAATGGTTCACTTAGGGGACATCTAAACTGAAATAAGTTCAGCTTAAGTGAAAACAGTAGTCATGATGCGTTACAAAACATAAAAACAACAAAATTTACTTAACAAATAAGAATAATAGAGAGCTTTTATTTCTCAAAAACAAACTAACATTTCACTAGTTTAGCGGATAAGTACAAGAACTTATGAAAAAATCGCCTTCCTGAGCTAGGAATCAACTGATAGAAAGTATTCACTTTAAATCAACTGTTAGTCGTTTTAGTGCATCAAGAAAGTCAGAGTATGTCAATAGAGCCAGCTTGAAACTCGTTGCTGTGGTCTATTTGTTCACCACAGTGATGTCTCTCCCTGAGGTTGGGAGAATAGCTTCTGATACAGCTTTCTTATTGAAAGTAATTGAAGAATATCTAGGTGGACCACCATGGACTCAGGAATATTCAAAAAATGATATTAAAGTTTGGTCTAAAGGGTCAAAAAATGATCAGATCAAGACTTTCAAGGCGACTGCACTTTTCAAAGGAGTTTCAGGATCAGAATTATTTGACTGCATTATGGATTCCGAGTACCGAAAGGAGTGGGATAAGTCAATGATTGAAAGTTACGAACTGTGTCAAGTACACCCTCAAAGTGACATAGGATATTACTCTCGTATGCGAAATGTTTTTGACTGGTTTGTTTTTAGTTCGTTCGCCCCCAGGATTAAAAAATAGAGATTTTGTTCTCCAGCGAACATGGGAAAGGTTTGATTCGTATTATGCAATCGCCTGCCACTCTGTATTTCATAAGGTATGTTCTTTTGTGACATTTTGTATCCACTATACCTACTTTCTCATCATATTGTGTCTTTATCAGTTTATCCCACCAATAATTCATTATCTCGTTTTAAAGTGTTATTATGAACCAGATGAGGCGAAATACTCTTTTAGTGAATACGCAAGTGAAGTGCAACTGTTAATTGATCTTCGTCTATAGTTAGAAAGTGACGCAATGGAGTCCAGAACACACTTTTCGTCCCATTTTTAACTGAAGATTTACAGTCCTTAACATCAATGGGAAAGTTCAAAGAACCTTTACAAATATTAACCGGTTTTTGTTGTGTGTTATATGTCCGAAACGTAGTTCTATGAATAGTAGTGGTCAACTCATTGAGCATAGAAATCTGGAAGTTACAAAAAAAACGAGTAGAATGGGAATGTGCTGTTATAGAATCAAGGTAGTCTAGTGGTAAACAGCTTTAAGTGAAAAAAGATTTCGGTTAGTTTACATAAGATACCATGATACCAAAGAACTTCCATGGTCCCTCGGTATACCATGAACCTCAAATTGTACTATCAATTTCAAATTCACTTACATCATACTCGTAACCTTAAAATTCATCTGTCGTATATAAACACCAAAAGGCTCATTGTAGACTTCGGATTCTCATTAGTTTCTTGTGAAACATGCTCAGTAAAAATTTAGGAAGCGTAAAGTATTGATTCAATGAAAGTTAAAAAGAAACGCTGAATGTTCTCAGTAAATCACAGTTAATGGAAAAAGATTCTCTCTGCTTACCTGTTTTTGTTTTTAATGCTGATGAACTCTGGGTCTCTTGAGTCTATAATTTATAACTAATTCACCCCAATACCCCATGAAGTCATCTAATTTCTTTTTCAATAAGCAATCTTTTTGAGAGTTCTCGACGTTTACTTAAATCTTAAAGTGACCACGTAGATGTAAACCTATTTAATAATCCTCATACTTGAATAGACAGTTGATTTTATTCAGGGAGTTAACATATCTGTATTGGCATAAATAATAACTTCCTACAACTTTATCATGCAGGGAAGTTATTAAGAGCCGGAAAGCTAAATTTGACTGTTTTCGTACTGATACCAATTGAACTGTTCTGTGAGTTTAAAGATCATTTGGTAGTAGTAATTTCTGATTATGAAGATAATCATTGGTGTCCCCAATGGTTTTCCCTTTTTATTATCAGGATTTATTGGATGTCAATCTTAACGCCCTAATATTCCATTATATTTTAACTTTACGTTATCAAACTTTATGTTTCGGGATAGAATTTTAAAGCATCTTGTTTCAAAAAAGTTTGTTCATCTGCAAAAGTGGACATATCTGTATCAAATCTATAGTTATAGAACACTTAAAGACATTCTATGCTGTCAGCTTCCACATCATAATTACATGGAGGTATTATTCTTGTTCGTCTTTAGCTTTTATACTATTATCTATAATTACTGACATCATACTGTTTCACTGTCAGCATCTCTAAATCTTCAAGCCTAAAAAGTAGCATCAAGTATCCTGGCAAAATGTATATTTCACAGAAAACATGCTGCATAATCGTTCGCCCCGTGCTAAATGATGCTCGTAAAAGCAATATATTTTTAGATTGCTTGTATTGTGCTATGGATATTTTTGAAGCCTATTGCTTGTATAATAGAACAACTAGTTTTTCTTAAACGTTGGATACTGAAATCTAAATAATAAAAGCATCATTCTGTGGGGCTGTGAACTTGTACTGGCTGTGGTGGCTAACAAAATTATTGTACATGTAAATTCACTGTCTACTGTAACGTTGGGATCTTGGCGAAAGTAAACCTATGAGATTACTAACTGGCGTTCTTAGTCATATAGGAAAGTATAGACTTCTTGATTTCAATCCTAATAATTATGTATCATCTGGATCACCTGTAAGTGCATTTACCTTACATGATCTTACAAAGTTTGATTATTTTCACTTTTTCGATTAAAGTTCTTGTCTTTTCTCTGTGACTGCAAGATTACAATACTTCAGGCTCGTGTGAATATCTTGTGTAGTTTTACTCTGTCATGACAAAATACCAACAACTACAAGTTTAAGCTTTTAAAGTCTAAAGCTTATCTGGCATCGATCAGCAGGACTCACTACCAAAAACTTGCTTTGTTTCTTGTAAGTGCTATGTTCACGAGACATACATATAAGTCAAACGATCATGTTTATTTAACTCCATTTGCTTACTTTAATTCTGTGCAGCACTACAAGGCGGCTGGTTCCAATGTAAGAAATATAAAAAGCTTAGACTAAGATTCTCTTCAAATACACAAAATTAAATCTCACTCCAACTATCGAAATATAGAATACCTGGTAGTACTTTCATAGGTCCTTATCTAGAAATCTGATCGTTTGGTCACGAGTACCATACAACCTAAGGTAAATATACATCTATTCAAGTTTTAGTACTACATCATCACATCAAAACAAAGTGGATAAGATAAATAAGAAACGAGTCAAATTAATAATAGTAAAACTTATTGTTAAGAAAGGCTTATATATTTTATATCTTAATATTTTACGCAGTTGATTCTCTATGCGAATATGAATAGAGATAAAACAACAATTAATGCAGAATAATATGACTATTATATGTTGTGATTTTTCATCATTTACTTACAACCATATATGTATTAAAGTGTAACATTAAGTCTTGGTATACATTTTTGACCGCGCTCGTAAACTTTGCTCAAATAAAAGCCTTGAAGAGGAATTTGCTTTCTTTACAACCTGTCTACGTGAAAGTGCATACTCAATGAAATTCATTGAGAAGTATGCCAAAACTAACGTATGTACAAAATGCAATACAGCGAAGAAAAAACCTGCTTATATCTGCGCTTCAGAGGGTAAAGGATTACCAGAGTAATTAATTACAGGATAAGTGCTGCGATGAACATTACTGATCCAGTAGAAAGACTGAAGACTTTATGTGAAAGGTCTACAGGTCTTCTTTTCTTTGTAACTCCAACTACATTTACCAGTGTACATGTGCATGCTAGAACACGTGCATTGAACAAACTGAGAGACAAGTACATGTTTACATTTCCGAGCACGTCCCAAAGAATTTGAGACTGAGATACCCAACAGCTCTAAATACCGCAATAGCTCTGCATTTAGTTGGTATCGAGGATATTATTGACATTCCGCAATCCTTCAGAATTATCAGCAGACAAAAGACACGCAGCGTCTCTTTGGTTCACCAAAGCAGTGTAAATTTGTTATGTGGTCTCCGCCAAACTACTGCTTATTTTCTGTACTATAAAATCATTCACTCAATTCCCTTAACTTACGTAAACTCTTCAAATATTATTATTGGGGCTGTGGAGATTATTAAGTTTTTGATTGAGCGCTGTGTTTCCAGGTTTCCAACGGTGGTCTAACATCAGTCGATTCATGATCTCAATCAGAAATCTTCAAATATTGTTTAATTATTGTGTAACCCATGAATTTCTGATTTTAGACGATTACCACCTCATTTCTCTAAATTTTTCATATCTACTTTCCAGTGACTTGAACTTTTTTATGAAATTTCTTCATAACTACAATCACACGATCCGCCCTATTCTGTTTCCGGACTTTATTTAATTATTGCGTAATACCCTCCCCCTGTTTTTTAAATTCCATTTCCAAATGACCTCACATTTGTTCACGTATCTATATGTATAGTTATTATTGATAATCTTTATTAATCTAGCCATTTTCTGTCACCAATGTGAATTGTTTCATATTAGATGTTACATTTCAATTTATATCAATGTTTGTAAGTAGGTGATGAGAAACCACAAAACATATGGAATTCATATTATTTTATCTTAATTGTTGTTTTGGCTTCATGCAAATGTCAAAATATAGGCAAAGATAAAGAATCAACAAATCAATACCATTACATTCTATTTCACACTACGTCGCCTAATGTCTCCGAATGTCAGTCATGACGATCACCAAAAAGTTTGTACCCCCTTCCTTCTTTCAACACGGCTTCAAACTAATAATCTTTTACTTCATATGCTAATCTTATAGTTCGCCTTAGTTGCTCCCAACTACAAGTTTTAATTGAAAATCGTCCATACTATTAATCACTAGTCATTAATGAGAGTAACTATGAAATTTGGTAGACTGATAAGCCTAATGTTTCTAAAAATGATCTTAATTATGATCTGGTTATATTTCTTTTTTTTTTATAAAAAAAATGAACTAAATTATTATATTCTGTTGTTTGTATTGATTTTCAAGGGAATCCCTGTTCGAAAACAGTGTATCCGAGCATTAACCCATATGAATGCATATATTATTCGTCTACTTGGTACAAACTCCTGTGAAATGACTTATGTCACCAGCTGTGATTTTCGTGGTTAGTATGCAGTGTTTTTTTTTTCTAAAATAATTGTTTAATTTTGTATTCAGAAAAAACATCAGTGTTTTTAAGTAAACAAAAGGTCAGTATAGAAAAACTTATAAATAGGCTTGTGTACGCTTGCCAGGTCTTGCATCGATGATGGTCTGACATATATAAGTTATGTTTTGTTGTAAATTTATGTATATATATATATTCTAAATTCCTGGCCAGTTCTTTAGCATTTTATTGTGACAAATTTTTTTGAATTATTACCATTCCATTTCAACTTTGCCATCAGTGAGATTCTGTAAAAATCCCTGAAGCAAATCGTAATAGTGTAAATCTATTATCTGGAGAAAGATTTTCTGACTTTGAGTCCGCTGAAAGCATTGTCTTCCTGCGCAATAACACACAAGGTGTACGTGTCAATTCATGTTTGTAGGTATGACATGTACTTAAGATGATGCAGTCTGATGGTTTCCGTAATGTGTATCCTATCCACTTCCAACTTCTTTTCCTAATTTCCCTTTCAGATGGAAGCTGGTTTTTCCTCTCCTACAGTAGGCTGTTTCTGATGGTATCCATCCAACGGACATTAACCATCTTATGTAGACAACTATTTATAAATACTTGTACATATTTGATGTTGGTTGCGGTAGTTCTCCAACTTTTAGCTCTATACCACAGAACCAACTGTCTTGACGTTCGCACTGAACATTGTGCCTTTGATATTGATTGATATTTGTTTTGAGTTCCATTTGTTCTTCAATTATAGGAATGCTATCTTTACTTTGTCGATTCTCACCTTTACATATGCATTGGTTTCTCCTTGTTCATCGATGATGCTGTTCAGGTACGTGAACGTTTCCACCTCTTCCACAGCGTCTCCATCAAGTGTGATTGGGTTAGTGTTCTCCGTGTTTTATTTGAGGATTTTGAATTTATCCTTGTGTATATTGAGGCCAAGTAATGCAGAGGCTATTGCTACACTGGTTTACTTGACCTGCATTTGTTCGTGTGCATGGAATAGAAGGACTAAGTGATCTACGGAGTCCAAATCTTCTGGTTGCGTCCACTCTGTCCACCGCATTCTATGCTTCCCCTCAGATGTGCAGGTCTTCATAATTCAATCACATACCAGAAGAAAGATAAAGGAGAAAGTAAGCAGCCTTGTGTGACTCTGATCCTCATTTGGAATGCATCTGTCAGCTGTCCTCCATACACCACTTTGCATTTTAGTCCATTGTGTGAATTCCGGATGATGCTGAAGATTTCCCAAGGTGCACTATATTGTCGAAGAAGTTTCCATAATGTCATCCTATCCACATTGTCGAATGCTTTCTCATAGTCAATGAAGTTGATGTATGGTGACGAATTCCATTCAATTGATTGCTCAACGATGATCCGTATTGTCGCGATTTGGTCTGTGTACGACAGACCCTTACAGAATCCGATCTATTGATCTCGAAATTTGGCGTCTATTGAATCTTTCATCTGGTTCAGCGACATTGTGGAAAACTGTCGTGGTACCAATAGCAGTGTGATTACTCTTTAGTTTTTAAATTTGTCCAGATCTCCTTTGTTTGGTATCTTGGTGAGGTGTCCTTCTTTCAAGTCCGTCGGAAATCGTTCTTCCTCCCAACTCTTCCTGAATAGGATGTAGAGCATGTTTGCAGTTGCTTCTGTGTTTGACTACAGTGCTTCAAATAGTTTATTGTCAGATCCTGCAACTTTCCCTCTCATGATTTGTCTGATGACAATTCTGATCCTTTTGATCGTTGGTGGGATGACATATATAGGAAGGTCTATGTGTGCTGCTTTGACGTCTGGTGGATTCAAAGAAGTTGGCCTATTCAAGAGTTCTTCAAAGTGTTTTACACATTTGTTCTTCTGTCCTTGAATCTCAGTGATTGGCTTGCTTTCTTTGTCTTTGACTGGTCTTTTTAGTTTACTATATCTCCCTTCTAATTTCTTCGTTGTCACATAGTTGTTTCGTATTTTCTCCTGCAGCTTTTCCTGCTGCCTTCGTTAGATCCTCCACGTATTTCTGCTTGTCAGCTCGAATGCTATTCTTCACTTGTTCGTTTGCTTCTGTTTATTCAGCTTGTGCCTTAACTTCACCTGTTCTTGTTCGGTTGTTGTTAATTGCTGTCTTTTTGTTCTTCCTTTCTTGAATCTTGTGCAGGGTTTACATTTAGATCCATTCCTTACGATGATGCCTCTTGAGGTCCAGAACATCCTGGCACGTTGAAGTTAGTGCTTCTTTGATCCCTTCCCAGTTGTCCTCCTTATTAGTTTCTTCCTCTTTGAGTAGAGCTTTTAGGCTTGGAACCTGTTGTTGAGAGATATCTTGAATTCTTTGAGTTTGTTAGTATGTCGAAGGAAGGCTGTATTGAACCGTCGTAATGTTGTTTCCCCAGTTGTCCAGTGTTTCCTTAGCTTCAGTTTCATCTTGGTCGCAACCAGGTGGTGATATGCAGCTATGTCAATCTCTCTCCTGGTTCTCACATCTATTGTTCTTCTGAATTTTTTACTGATAGAAATATCATCTATCTGGTTCTCCGTGATGTAGTCCGGTGAGATGTATGTAGCTTTGTGTATGTGTTTGTATGGGAACATTGTGCTACCTATAATCAATTTGTTGAATGCACATAGAATTACAAATATCTCGCCATTTTCATTTCTTTCTCCCAGTCAGTCCATGTCGTCCCATGATATCTTCATATCCGATGTTGTTTACTTCGACTTTGTTGTTTAGGTCTCCCATCAAGATGGTCAGGTCTTTTCCTAGGCATTTCGCTATGATTGATTGCAGCGTCTCGTAAAACTGATCTTTGTCGTCGTCGTCGTTTCTATCATCGGATAACGTTCGTTGTGATTCCCTTCTTCTTTGTTTTGAAGGGTGCTTTGACGATCATGGATCCATGAGATTCCCACCCAATAAGTGCATGTCATGGATCTTCGGAGTGCATCAGAGCAACTCACTGAATGTGTTGAACATTTTCCTCTTCGTGACCAGAACACAGCAGCATCTTTCCCTTATCTATCCTTTTCTTTCCAGGTTGGGTCCAATCAGTTTCGCTGATTCCGAGTACTGCCAAGTTGTATCTCCACTCTTGTCTCCATCTTAGATTTGAAGAATGTATCTATAGTTTTGCTTTATTTAAAATCGAGGAGAGTTATTAAATGTCGGTTCGTATAACCAAATATCATGGCATTTTACTAAAAGCAGTAACCTTTTAATAAAAGCGCTTATAAACTCCTGGCCGTAGGTCTCAAGTTTGAAAGCTTCTTCTTTGGTGCTCATATTGTAGTAGTCTTAAGTAGTACAGATTAGCGTTTGATAAAAGTCTTACGGAATCGGACAATAAAACATGATATTAGATAAGTAGTCCACTTTAGCATGATTGAGCTCGAACTACTTATTAAGTTAGAATGAATACCCTATGTGTTTCATCGAAATGCTCTCATATTTAAACTCTTACATAAGTAAAACAAGTTAATCCGGTGAATTAGTTCCCATTAATGTTTTGTACTAAACGAAAGTATATCCCCCTATTTTACTTTTGTTAAACGTAAGCGAGATGTTCCTCTAGTTACCAAAAGCCAAGTTCACTGCTCAGCAGTTCTTTCTGTTCATCATTATTACTGTGAAACATGGCTTTATAAAATTGAAGGTATTCATAGTTTATTAGTATTCAACCACAGATGCCTTTGAAGCAATGTTCATCTATGTTGAGACTATTGAGTGAATGATGCGAAGTTTAGGTGCATGGCATTAGGTAAATATGGAGAGGTGAATTTCTATCGATTGTGTTTGGAATATCTATTACGTATGCGCAACCACCAGCTACCTCGACTAATATATGGTAGCTCATCTGTAACGGCTCTCTATCTCAATAGTTACCTTGTTCTTGTAATCGCTTATTCAGACTTTCTTAAGAGAAACTCTCGTTTCTTGTGGTTCTACCTTACTAATGATCACGGTCGGATCGAGACATGTGTTGCGTTTGTTTAACCATTTCTTATCTAAACATACAGTTTTGGTTAAAGTAGGAATCGAGTGAAGAAAGCTAAGGTAATCAAAACAAAATTGGACATCAATTCACGAATCCACTTTTGTTAGGTGTAGATTATCTAGTTGGAACGGATTGGTCTTACTGTTATGAATACTAATATTATATTCCAATATCTTTCTATTCATTTTGTTAATGTGATCCCTTAAAGATCGTCTTTTTATAAGAAGACGTATCAGCTTAGACTACACTGACCAAGTCCTATTAGATAAATGGCCCTGTTAAAATACAAAAGAGATAAATTTTTAATTGTTATGACGTGTTTGGCTATTTTACGATTTTCATAATTCTCTTATTTACTGATGACTAACAAATATGAGCTTCGATAGATGGACTCTGTCTACTTTCTGCTGAATGCCATTGCTTATCGCGAAAAAGAGATTTCTAACTGTCAACCATGAGATGAAAGTATACCACTTACCAGACATGGCTTTCAGAAATAGAAAACACAAGTCTTAAATACATTAATCCCATAAAATGGCTTCATTGATGCGGACCTGAGTCGCTTGATGATCAGGTTCGAAACCTTGTTTGGCTGGAGCGATTAAGGGGATATGTTTCATGTGACCAAACATTATGAGCAGCGGCAGTAGACATATTGTTCATTACCAACCATATTTATTCTAATGGCAGGAAATGAAATACTTGAGCGTACCGACGGCTACGACTATGTTAAGAATTTCATCAGTCCTGAAGGTCTAGTGTTTGACGAAATCTCGGCACGGATTAAAAGAACTTTATTGGCTTTTACTAAATTACGTTTCTTGTGGCGTAGGCGAGATATCATTGTGCCAACCAAAGGGCGAGTTTACAGCGCAACAGTTTGTGCCGTCCTGTGTAGGGGTAAGTTGGGAGAAAGCTAGAGCGGCCAAACGAAGGCATGACACCAGTACATGAAGTCATTGACGATTGGAATGACCCGTGTTAACTGGTTTATATATTGGGGTCTTCGTGATTACCGTAATAAATGGTTAAAAACTTTGAGTGACGTGACTCAAAACCGTTTGCAATGACACAGAGGCATCCATCCTTTTTCCTCCCTCAGGTTCTAAGGTTCTGAATTCCTCATAACTTTTTTGATTCACTAATTTATGTTCTCTTGAATAGTATCTTCGATACTTAACCTCCTATATTACTACTAATATTGTTACTTCCCCTACTCTTCTGGAATTCGGCCTAGCAATTTCATCTCTCTGTACTAATGGAGTGTGGCAAATCGAACCAATGTACATACAAACCAGGTTCTACTTTGCGTTTGATTGAGTGACTGATACGTATTTTATATACAAAGTCTTAATTGAATTCTATCCGTATTTAGCTAATCATATCAGCTTCTTCAAAAAAACCATTGAATTTCTTGAGGTTGTTAATACGCGCCTTACTTACAATCCCCATTATACATTTTAAATTCCTATCAAAATTAATGTATTCATTCATAGATACTTTAACCCTATCCTACATGTGCTCCATAATGCGATTAAGTTCAAGCTTTTCTTTTGACACATTAACATCTCTACAAATTATTCGTCTATATTATATTTTTAATGTGTTATCTATCCTAATCCCTTTTATAAGCACATTTATATCGGTTTTTTTTGTTTTCTAGGTAAACTACCCATATGGGTAATTAACAAGGCTACACAGTTCATGGCTCCTCGAGCAATTCAAATATTATACAAAGCATGTACTAAATATAATACTTGGAAAAAATCAAATAATCCTGATTATAAACCATGGTTATATCCTGGTCAAACTAATCTACCATTGTTATGTTGGGATGATTTAGATCAGACAGCTAATTTAGGACCTACTGATGATGATGGTGATATTACATCATTACCATCTGATGAATCTGTTCTATTGGATAGAAATGATAGTTATACTAGTCGAGAAGAACAAGGAGATATAGAAGAAGAAGTAGTAGAATTTAATTCAGTACCTGTTGAAGATCAAATACAATCATGTGTCACTGCAACTTCCATTGCTACTGTATCGGACTCTTAGATAAATTGATTGTATAGACAGTCATTTCCTTGTTTGTTGATTTGTTGGTAATTGAAAAAAAAAAAAAACAGAAAAGAAAACCATCTCAATTGTTTGGGTGATGAATAGATAGATGCACAAATTCATTTTGATATATGTATAATTTTATATAATAGATTGAACTTATATTATACTACGGTCTACGGTTTTTATGATCACATTTGTTTTAATGAGATAATGATTGATGATGATGATGATGATGATGAATGTTAACCAGTTACCAACTTTGTTTTATTTTATTTTCTTCAAATTAAACATGATGAGGAGGGAAACAACGGTTGATTTTTTTTTTCTCAGGGGGTTTGTTTGTTTAGGTGTATATCTTCTACCTAATTGACAACATACATATTGTACACACTAATACTTCCTGTTGTATAGAAAGAGAATTGATTTATTTTTGTTTTTTTGTCTTTTTTTTTTGTAAAAAATGTAAAAGAAAACAGTTTATGAATTACATTTTGAAAAATGCACAATATGTGTATTACTTATTTGTTGTTAGTATTACAAGAACTGAGAGAGAGAGAGAGGGGGGGGGAAGTGAGGGAAAGGGAAATTGTGGAAAATATATATATCAAAACTAGACTTCTCTTTTCTTCACTTCTGTGCTCGTGACCTTTTTTCCCTGTGAACTTTGTAATAAGTTGTGTATGTGTGTGTGTGCGTGTGCGTGTGCGTGCATATCTTTCTGTGCCTATATTATAAATACTTCACGTATTACTTACTTACGCCTATTACTCCCAATGGAGCATATGCCGCCGACCAGCATTCTCCAACCCACTCTGTCCTGGGCCTTTAAAAAAAAAAAACAACTTAAACTTCACGTATACTTGATATTATTATTTACAAACTATATTTTTGTATGTTCTTTCATTTGGGCAAAATTCCTGTAAAAGAATATATATGTATTTTCCCAAGAAATATCTTTTTTGTTTTTGGTCATGAATACGTTTTCATTTGATTGTATGTTTTCTGTTTGTTCTTTCAACCTTTTGTATATTGTATTTTATGTTTGCCAACAAAAGTGATTAATCTAGTAATTGGTACTTGTCATAAGTTGTTTTTTTTTACTTGTGGTTATCCTAAATTGTGACTGAGCTTAAACCCTGATGCTGACCACTTTATAGAATTGATAGATTTAAATTTTATCATCAAGAGATATCCTACTGTAATTCGATTCAGTCCAGGGATGTTTTTTAAGTCGACATTGATCTACGTTCTTGGTCACTGGTGAACATACTACTGACAACGTAATCATTTATAGGACAATTATACTATATTTAAGTGAGTGTGGTGGTTATAGAGTATATATTACATTTTATCGGTTAGACTATACTTGATGATCTTTCTGTTACCATGACAATTAAATATTAACCATATTGACTCATGTTTGAATATAAATATCGCATTCTAATTAAGTGTATTTTATCAGAAAGGGTTTTGTGTAGATTGTAGTAATTTCAATGGTTAAGATCATGGTGGTCTAGCTTCAACTGACTCATGATCTTAACCATTGAAATGTATTTTAATCATATTTGTATTAAATATTCTGTAAATAAGTATGTCAATTCATTTCGTGAAATGTTATAACTGAAGGCCGTCAATTGTTATATGTTGAGGACGCGCTCGCGGATTGAAGGACAGTGAATTATCAATCGGACCAAAGACGCGTAAACACGTAAGAACAGCCTAGAGTTCTGATTGGCCATGCTTCCCTGTCTAGCCTAGCCAGTTGAGTCCAGAACGCAAGTCTCAGCCTTTGTGATATGAATCATTATATTTCAAACATACTCTGTTTATGTACAAAACAAACAGACTACATCGTACCATAAAATAAAAAGTAACATTTGTACAAGATTTGACCTCCAGGAAATGATACAAATAAATATTGACCAACGGGAAAATGACACGTTGGAAGAATATTGACCAATGAGGAAATGACACCATTTCTCATTCAGGAATAGCATTGGATAATTTCTGGGGTATTTTCTGAATACCCCAACATGAAATGATTCACATTTTTGATGGCGAGTTATCTTGCTTTTTCGTATCCATTCATTATTGAGAATTCACTTCCATTATTAGTTACATTTGTAAGAAATTATCACTAAACTACTATAAAATTATATCAGGTAGGTTGGGTGATTGATCGATTGTACAAATGTACTATAATGCATACAATCGACTTGTTCGTTATCATAATGTTTTAATGAAACAATCAATCAAAGCAGTTTTGTGTGCGTTTATAATGTGGACTGTATATAATGTAATCATATTCATTATAAATATACTTTGTTACTATAGTGACAGGTGTGTAGTAGAGATAGGATGATCGAAAATAAATATTTTTTTCGGTGAATTGATTAAAGTTAGATATTAACTCTGTCGTATACTTGCTCAATGGTTTAGAAGTTAAGCGTTAACACGCTTAACCGAAGATCCTGAGTTCGACTCTTGCGATCGGAGTTATAGATAGACATTGCTTAGGAGATCTACATAGGGACGAAACAATCGTTCAGTGCTTCAAGGTATTCAATGATAGTTTAACTTAAATCACTTCATGAATTTGATAAAACATTTTATCATTGAAAACATTAAGAATATTGTGAAGATAATCAAGTTACGTAGTGCTAAAGAACGAAGTGTATGAATAATTAAAGCACTAATGTATGAATTTGTATTCTAGACATTTTAAGATGTCAGGAAACCCACGAAGAAAATGGGTTCCATGTAGAACTGACTGGGTTAAAAGGGTGAGGGTAAACTTCACTGTTGTTCTCACTTTTGATCTTGTATTTGACAACCAACCAAAATAAAGGAATTATTATTTACATTGTCGTAATCTATGATAGGAGGCATGTTTTATTCTCTAACGTTTTTTCTGGCTTACATGAATAATGTAAAGTTTTCTACGACAAAAATATCACTTAATCATGATACGGACGTGTCAAATGTAACGCAGTCAGTCGTGGTGGAAGAAAAATTACAACATAGCGAGATTCATACTTACGCCTGTTACCCTTCGTGGAGGAGCATAGACTGCCCACCAGGAGATTAGGCTACTGTTGCCGATGGTGTTTACAGCCTAATCTTCAATAAATAGTTCATATAAGGTTATGTTGTTGTTAGGATACATGTTTTCTCACATTTAGAATGTTGTAATAGAATTCAGTGGAAAGCAAGTAGCTAATAACTATCATTAATGAAATAACTAAACTATTAAATAAACATTGATTTAATAACCATAGTAGTTGGATTTATTTTAGTTATCATACTCTCAGTCAGTGATAGATTAACTTTTAATCCATAGATAGATTGTTATTAGAGAAGTATAATGAATATCCAAAAAGTAAAAAGATAAACAAAAAAGAAAACATGAACTCTTAACTCAATCAATAAACATTATAAAACAATATATTTACATGTAATGACAAATTTAATTAACTATATACTTGAAATAAGTCAAAATAGTCAAGTTTCAATTGTGTTACCATGTGGTTTCTTTTAATTTGCTTCAATAATATAAAATAAATGGTGTATTTATTATCAGAAAGGGGTTTTTTTACAGATTGTAGTAATTTAATAGTTGAATTCATTAATCAATTGAAGCTAGACCATCACCCTCCGCCAAGTGTTAGAACACCGTCATACTTATCAAAGGCCAATAATCGTAGTGTTTCTTGATATCAGAGCTGCCTTCGATTCGTTGGACAGAACTGTTCTTTGGGATTGTCTATTGAAGAAGGGTGTGCCTGAGAAGTTTATTAACATCCTAAAAGCCCTATACACATACATCTCAGGCAGAGTGAGGGCATACAACCACCTTTCTCCACTATTCCATTCGAGCAGTGGAGTTAGACAGGGTTGCCCAATCTCACCATTCCTCTTCAACTTTGCCATCGATGACATTCTGGAAACAGCTCTGACGGATGTAAGTAATGGTGGTGTGGACCTGTTGCCTGAAGAAAGACTTCTCGACCTTGAGTATGCGGATGATATTGTCTTACTGTGCGAGAATGCCCAAGCTATGCAATCCGCACTTAATCAGTTGGCAATCAGTGTCCGTAGGTATGGTATGTGCCTTGCACCTTCGAAGTGCAAAGTACTTCTACAAGACTGGCAGGATTCCAATACTGTACTCACTCTGGATGGTGAGCAGATAGAAGTAGTCGAGAAGTTCGTGTATCTAGGTAGCTGCATAAGTGCTGGTGATGGCGTGAGTGATGAGATCAATGCACGTATAGTGAAAGCCAGAGCGGCTTATGCCAATCTGGGACATCTTTGGCACTTTCGTGATGTTAGTCTGGCTGTAAAAGGTCGGATCTACAACGCGACGGTGAGAGCAGTTCTGCTCTATGCTTGTGGAACCTGGCCTCTCCGAGTTGAGCATGTTAGACGACTCTCTGTGTTCGATCATCGTTGTCTCCGAAGGATTGCTGGCATCCAGTGGCAACACCATGTCAGTAATGCAGAGGTTCGGCATCGAGTGTTCGGTCACAGAGACAATAATGAAATTGGTGTCACCATCTTGAAACACCGACTTCGGTGGCTTGGACATGTTCTACGAATGTCGTCCCAGAGAATTCCACGTCGTGCATTATTTGCCGACTCTGGGACTGGTTGGAAAAAGCGGAGAGGTGGTCAGTGTATGATATGGTGTCGTGGTATGAAAGAAAGTTGCAAAGGGCTAGCTTCTGTTGGTCCTTCAAGACTCCGTGGCTGGGGTCCGAGAGACGGTGTAACGCAGTGGCTAGAGACGTTATCAGATATGGCTCAGAATAGAAGCCAGTGGCGATCCTGCTGTAACCTTCTTTTACTTTCTTCATAAAAAGTGGTTGTATCTTCCTTAACAGAAAGATTCTGATTGTACCTTTCTGTTTTCCCCATCATTGTTCTCTCTCTTTTTTTTATAATTCCCCACGTTCATTACTTTTTTTTTCTCTTTTCTCCTTCTCTTCAAATTATCATTGTTTTGTGTGGCGCATATATATTTGGTGCCCCCCTGTACCAATATTTATGTGTTCAAATAAATAAATAATAAATAAGACCATCATAGAAAACTTGGAAGCACTTGACGGTCGTTTCATCCTAGTATGTGACTCTTCAGCAATGCGTATCCAAGATCCTGGCCCCAGGATTCAAACCCAGAACCTTCGGTTCTGCACGATCCGGTATCCAACAGTGTTAATGTTGTTAGGTCCAGATAAACATAATGAATGGTAACTGTTGAGATCCATTTATGGATCAATACTATACGTATATTTTTATCGTATAATTGTTAATTAACTAAACTATTCATATTCATGTCTGTCTTATCATAGACTTTATTTTAACCTATGAACTGTTACTATACGATTTTCCATTCTTGAATGATGCCCTGTCTATTATTCACTGCCTCCCTTATTCACAGCCACATTTGGCCAAATCTTGTATAAATGTTGTTTCATATTTTATGGTACGCCGTGGTCTGTTTGCTTGGTATATAAACCGAGTATGCTTGAAATAAACGATTCATATCACAGAGGCTCGGATTGGTGTTCTGGACTTAACTGGCTGGGTTAGGCAAGAAGCAGGACCAATCAGGACTGTAGGCTGCTAGTACGTGTTTACGCGTCATTAGTTCGATTGATAAGTCATTGCTCCCTAATTGGCGGTATCATTACTTATCCATTAACAGGTCACACAGTCCACGGTTATAACATGTTTAACCTCAACCAGTGGTCTAAAGGTTAAGCGTTCACGTATGAGACCGATAGATCCTGGTTTTCAATCCCAAGTTCATGATCATGGATGCGAGGTACTGAGGAATCTCATACTAGGACAAAACAGCCATCCATTGCTTCCAGGTTTTCCATGATGGTCTAGCTCCTGAATTCAACTATTGAAATGTATTTATTTATTGTTTAGTGTTCTTTCTTTCCTTTTTTCAAGTTCCGACTGTACAACTTTATTTGCTTTTAATGAATAATTCCATTCATTATTGAATTCAAATTATATTGATTAAACCAACATGGAATCATATGATTGTGTTTGTTTTATATATATACAACTT